ACAGGAATAAATGAGAAGTGTAGCACACTAGGAAATGCAGAATGTTGTCAAAAATTTGTAAGTGAAACTTCTTTCAATGCCACTAGGTGGCACAAGGTAGCTGTAAATCTCACTAGAGTTGAAAAAAGTTTAAGATTTAATGTGATTTGTTTCCTCAGAGTATCAAATACATTTTCCCAATTATCTCATCTTTCCATTTTCACAGCTCTGTGCTAGTGCTTTAAATATTAATGTATTTTTATGTTTTCTTAAATATATTAGACTCAATGCATTTATTTAATAACTAATATTATAGGTTGGTGCAAAGGTAGTTGTGGTTTTAGTATTTTTGAAATTTGCTGTTTGATATTGGAATACATTCTTAAATGTGGTTATGTTATACATCATTTTAATGCCCATTTATGGTTTTACATTTTTTGGTAATGATTTATTACTTGCCATTTATTTTATATTTATTTTAGACTACAGAAATGATGTTAGAAAAAGCAAACCTGAGAGATTTTCTTATTCAAGTTCAAAATGGGTCGTATAGCAGCAGAGATAACTCACAACAGCAACACATTTGGCCCAGGAATTGCTAACAAACGTATGTACAGTGCAATAGTGGTTCAAAAAGTTTTGCAAAGGAAATGAGAGTTTTTAAGATGAGGAGGGCAGTAGCCAGCGATAGGAAAGTGACAATGACCAATTGAGAGCATATGATTCAATGGCAGTATCTCCTTTTTCATTTCTGATTGAGCTTATTTTGGTCCTTTATTTTGTATTTCTGATAAGTCTAGCAATAGATATATCAATTTTGTTTATCATTTCAGAAAACCAACTTTTTTTTTCCTTGATCCTTTGTATTGTTTTCTTGTTTTCTATTTTGTTTAGTTCTGCTCTGACATTAGTTAATTTTTTCTTCTTCTGGCTTTGGGTTTGTGTTGTGCTTCCTTTTCTAGTTCCTTGAGATGGGTCATTAAATTGTTGTGATCTTTCTGTCTTTTTGATGCTGGCATTTAAAGGCTATGAATTTTCCCCTTAGAAATGCTCTTTCTGAATCCATAGATTTTGGATGCTTGTGTCATGATTACTGTTCTGTTCAAAAACTCTTTTGATTTCCATCTTAATTCCATTATTGAAAGTAGATATCAAGTTAAATGCTCTTACCATAAAAAAGCAGAGGGACCAGGAGGAAAAGTTTGGAGGTGATAGACTTATTACCTTGAGTGTGGTCATGATTTCATAGGTGATTGCATATATTCAAACCCAACCAATTATATACATTCAATATATGAAGTTTTTTCTATATGAATCATACCTCCTTAAAGCTGTTAAAAATAAAATAGCCAAGGGTTTTATATAAAATATAATTAAGTGGAATTATCTATTTTATTAATAAATTTAGGATTATATAGGAGGAAAGGGTATTTTCCTTCGATCTTTTCTTGGTAAAAAATCATCCAGCAATTTCAGTATTAATCAAGTAAGCTAATTTGGATAAAGTTTTTAAAAATTATAACACAAATGTGATCAGAAACATATTAGAAATAAAGGGAAACCTTTATCAGTTTTAAACTGATTTAAACCTAAATCAGTTTAAAAGATTGTCATTTGGATAATAATTGGTAAGGAGTCTTCTTGATGGTTATTTGCTCTTAAGGAAGTAATTGTCTGAAGGAGATCACAGCTATAAAAGCACACCATTTAAGAGGAGCTTCCTTTAAACCATATATTCACACATATGCAAGCGTCAATTGAGATCACTCTCACCTACCTCTAGAGGAAAGGACAGAAGACAATGGAAAAAAAAATATTAGTTTAGGACTCTATTTTGGAAGGATAAATGGGGCACCATTTGAGAGCTTAGGAATTCAGTAAGGAACTCTCATCTCTCATCTCCAGCAGCCAGAGGTCAGGAAAAAGCTAGGCTCAGACCCAGGACATAATTATAAGGATAGTGTAGCTCCAGTGAAAATTTAATTTTCAACCCTGATGGATCTGCTTCACCATGATTAGGCCATAGATTAGAAAGAAGTGAAACTTGTAATCAAGACATCTTGAATGACAGCCCTGATAAACTTGAAACTTGAACCTGTTGAGCCTATAGAAGTGGCCCACTCCTCCCTGTTAACGATTAATGCTCACCACTGGCTTAAAGACAATGACTTTCAGGTCATTCAGGATCAATCTCCATCCCCTCTCCTGGCTACCAGACCAATAACTGGGGCCATGTCACAACACAACCCACCTGAGGGAGAGCTGATTCTGCCACAGAATGAGAAAGACTATGCACCAGAGAAGCTTCAGGACCCAGCCAACAAGTACCAGCAGAAGGTGGGAGAGTATATAGGGAACAAAATACTGAGGATGTTGGGGTTAAGGGATCTAGTGTTCTGGAACATAAAATTGACAAGGGAGGATTTATCAATATGACAGTTGTGATTAACACACTAGCACATGACAAATGCAAAGGCCACACTAAATGAAATATGAATTGTAGAATTTTCATAGCAGATGGTCAGGAAGGGATCAAATGGCTCACAATGATGGCATTCTAGAGCAGATATACTATATAAGGGCAGAGCATCCAGTTTCCAGCTTTATTCCACAGGAGAATCCAGAGAACATTGCATTTACTGTATCAAAAAGAATTCACTGGTGAGAGTGGCCTCACCATTGAGATCCTCAGTGGAAGCTATTTTGAGTAGGCCAGTGCTTATAGTGGGGGTTGTCGTTATAGAAACTGAGCATAATGATTGCAATGAGGTAAAAAGATACTGAAATGAGAGACATCATGCACTTAAGAGTCAGAAATAAGAACCACCATAATGAGCAATATGATCTGAATAGCAGCTGGAAGTGCCTGGCCCAGAGAGTTATGGAGATTGCTACTAGGACCCATTTTGATGAACAGCCAGTTAGGATATTTACTAATTTAGACAACAAAGAATGCAGAAGTTCATGATCTAAAGATTTAATGCAGTCGCTCCAATAAAAAGTCATGGTTCCATGCCCAGTACCCAGAACTGAGATAATCTGAAGGCCCAGATCTCATTAACTGAAGGAGCAACTGGGTCATGAGGAAGAAAGAAAGCTCTTCAGCATCACAGCATGTATATATGGCAATAATTACCCCAGTAGTTCTTTCTTTCTCCAAGGAAATTTAAGGCAATTTATTTTTCTAAGTGATCCAGTTAAAAGGGTAATATAGCCATATTTTTTTCCTAGGGCCCAAGGTACCACCATGGCCTCAGATTTAAGGGTCATGGAGGTCAGATAAAATAAATAGAGTCCCAGCCTAAGTCCAGATCACTGTTGATCTTCTCAGCTCCTGGTCCATCTGGTGACTATTTCCATGGTGACCAAATATATAATGACATACTTTCATAATGGACATACTTGTTTGTTGGCAAAAACATGTTAGCTCCTGGCCTGCAGTGAAGGCTAAATGTATGTCTTTGAAACTGCTCTGTCCCTGGAAAAGATAGTAAATCCAAAACAATGTCACAGTCTGGGGTTAGATGGGGCATGACGAGGGTTACTTCTACCCTTAAAGACATAAAGGTGGTGGTGGTCCCAATTCAAGCCCTATTTAAATCACAAGTCTGTTTTCTACAAAAATTTAATGGATCCTAGTTGGGGAGAAGAAACTACCTCACCTCAAAATCAACCAAGGAGTAACCCCAATTTAAGCTGCTGGTCGGGTATAGTAATTCTACGAGAGCAGATCAATACTGTCTCTAAGCAAGGTAATTCTACTAGAGCAGATCAATACTGTAATTGATATAAGGACATCAATTTGGTATGTTATTTTTATGCATGTGAGAAATGCATTTACCCTCATGAAATAGACAATTATGTTTAGATTTAAGTTAATTCTTTCACCTTCTATCACAATATAGTCCAAAGGGACAGTAATTGTCCAGACATAACATGATCTGGTCTGAAAACCACAACTTCTATTTAGTATCTCCCTTCCTGAATATCCATTTGAGATTACTCACTTTCATTCACTGTAGGCTAGAACCTCTGTTGGGAATGAATCACAGTTCTATTTCTGCCCAGTCCTCCTTCTCTCACGCCTAGGGACTGTTCTCCAAAGCACACCTGTAGTACACCTCCTGTAATTAAATCTTTGCCTAAGAACTGTATTTTCAGAGAACCTGACCTAAGATACTGACTTAGGACATACACTTAAGTAAAATCTGAACAAGTGAAAATTTTCTGATTCTTTTCAGTATTCCTCCTCTCATAAAATAGCACAAATTTTGCAGTAGAATGCTAACGTTTTGAGGTATATTCAGAAATTGAAATTAAGTAAGCATATGGAATAGTCTCCAAATTTATCAGACAAGTTCATTGTTGAAACATATGAAATTGTTTACCACTGAGATATTTGATCATGTCTTTCAAAAAAGAAAAATCAAATCCAGTTTTTGAGTAGTCTAATAAGAATGGAAAAATAAGCACAACATGTACTCACCAGCAAATTGGTATTAACTGATCAACGCCTAAGTGGACATATAGGAATAACATTTATTGGGTGTCGAGAAAATGGGAGGGTGAGGAGGGAATGGATATATACATACATGATGAGTGTGATGTACACCATCTGGGGTATGGACACACTTGAAGCTCTGACTCAGGGGGGGAGGGGAAGAGGGAGGAAAGGCAACACATGTAACCTAAACATTTGTACCTCATAATATGCTGAAATTAAAAAATTATTCAGTAAATAAGGAATAAAAAAATAATTCAGTATTATTTCATGATATCATATTTTATATTTTATAAATTATTTTATATAAGTGATTTCTACTTTTAAATGTCTTGATTTAATATTAGTTATTGATATAGAATCACAATCTGAACACAATTGGAATCTTCGATTTATTTTCTATTGGAGACTAGTCTATCACTGTAATTTTTTAAAATAAAAACAAACATCTCTACAGTATATAAGCCTTATCATAATTGCAGTAGTAAAATTCAGACCTATCAAAATATGTAACAGGTTACACAAAAGTATCCAGCTTAGTTGAAAAAAATGGATTGTTTTATCATTAAAAGTTGTGTTTTTAAAAGACCTTTTCAAAGAAAGCAAGTGACATGAAGATATGGTGACCTTTATGCTGGTTAAAGTCAGATGTCTTCCATTGGCATCACATTCTTTTTTTCATTATTCAACATCTTGACTTCCCCTGTCTGACTGTCAAATAGATATTGCATTCCTGTCACTGAAGAAAAAGAAGAAAAATACTTTGTTAGAATATTTATAAAAACTTGAATTTCTGTTAAATATAAGAAATATAATGTTGACTAATAAAAGGTAATAGAAATTGAAATATTTTATAAGTGTATGCTTAATCATTGTTTCAGCAGCTTCAAACAAATCTGATTGATTCTGGTTTTAAACCAGAATCGCTTGGCACAAAATTCACCAATAATTAACAATGTCGTAAATTCTTTATAATATATGCATAAAAAAGAAGGTGGAGTTTGAATTCATGAGTCTATTTCACTTAGAAAAACATAATAAATATACATTGAATATTGCTTATCACTCAACTAATGTATTTCCTTGACTCTCTCCCCATAAATCGGACAAAGTTACCCTCTGCTCTTGAAGGCTTAGTTTATCTTTTTGAGGAACTCTTCTCTAAACTGTCACTAGCATCTGCTGACTCCATCTCCCAAGACCTTGAAGAACCTTCTCATTCAAAGATTGGGAAAGAGGTGAAATCTTCAAAATGATACAAAAGATACACATAGTAGATACACACATATGTGTACCCAAACAATATTATGAATTATTGAAGTTAGGCTAATTGGCATTCACTGATTCATTCAACATATACTTATTGAATACAATCAAAACATTCAACAATCTCAGAGTATCTGGGATTGTAAACTCTGGAGCCAAGCCACTGGGATTTCAATTCTGTCTCCACATTTATTAGCTACATAATCTTATACAAATTCCTTGATTTTTGTCTGTCTTGTATTCTTATATGCAAAATGGGACTGATAAGTATAATACTTACCTCCTAGGATGAACATAAACATTAAATGAGTTTATACATATGCCTGGTACATAGATATTGCTCAATAGTTTAGAAATTTTTGTAAACTGCAGATAAAAGGAAATTTAGAGAACTTGTATATAATGTCTCTTGTGTATAATGCCATATGTAACTGCTGGCCCGCAAGTCTTGGAAAGTTTAATTCATGTAGACTCTTAATGAAAAAAATGATTTAAGCAGCAGAATGAGGGGGTAGAAGATCAGGAAGGAACAAAACTGAATTTGAGAAAGCAGTAAATCTAGCATTCAATATTGTAGATATACTCCTAGAATTGGCGACACTCATGTTCTTCCTGAACAGGCACTATATAGGATTGAGGTGGCTCAATTTCCATATGGGATATACTCTGATATTTAACATTGGAAATCACTCATTCCTTTCTCTTAAAATGGACATTTTAATATTAGGTTATTAAGTATGAAGTGTCTGATTCCCTTAAGTACTAAGTTTGACAGTTGATATCTCTGACATTTCACTTTGACACTCTGGATTTATTTTTATTGTGAATACACATCCTCATTCTTTCAAATGCACTGTTTGGCTTGTGATTATCTTTCAAATATTTTTAGAGCAATTTTTGTGAAATCATGGATAAGTAAAAAATTTGTGTTATTTTCAAATATGAGTTCCGTCATGGAACCAATGTAGCACAGACAGCTCAAAATATCAATGAAGTGTTTGGGAAGGATGTGACTAATGAACATACAGTATATGGCTGATTTGAGAAGTTCCATTCTGGTGATTTTAATCTTGAACTTAAGGCATGTGAGTGACCTGAGACCAAGATGGATAAGGATGAGCTGAAAGCTGTCGTGGAAGCAAATACATCTCAACATACATGTGAATTAGCATCAAGGTTTGACATTACTATTCCAACAATATTGGCCCACTGGAAACAAATTGGTAAGGTAAAAAAACTGGATAGACGGGTGCCATGTGAATTAAATATGTCAGAAAAGAAACCATCTCAGCTTGCCTTTCTCTGCTGTCACGACATAAAAGTGAACCATTTCTACACCGTATTGTTATATAAAAAATGGATTCTTTTTAACAATCGTAAGCATTCAGCACAACGACTGGATAAAGATGATGTGCTGAAACACAGTTCAAAACTGAATATTCATGAAAAAAGTGAATGGTGTCTGTTTTGTGGTCCAGTGCTGGTATTATCCACAGCCAGCAGCTTCATGAAACCTGGTTAATTGATGACAGCAGATGTGTACAGCAACCAATTGGACAAAATGATGAGGGATTAAGTAGCTGAAAATGGTCAATAGAGACAGGCCAATCCTCTTGAAAGAAAGTTGGATCACATGTCACACAAACAATGCCACTCAACCTACAGAGGCTGGACTTGGAACCTCTCTGTCAACCACCATATTCACCAGACCTTGCATCAACTGATTACTACTTCTTCCAGGCATAGGACCACCTCTTCCAATGAAAAATATTCAATTCTCAACAAGCTGTGAAAAATGCATTTCATAATTTCATTGCCACTTGCTTTTGAGCCTTCTTTGCTGAAGGCATAAACAAGCTACTGTTAAGATGGCAAAACTGTGTCAATAGTTTAGTCACATATTTTGATTAATTGTACTGCTTCTTGTTGGAGATATAATAAACTAAACTTTTGATTTGAAATTGGACATTTCATATTTAATGACCTAGAAAACTTGGTATACGTAATATACACTTCTACTTGCTCTATTTTTCTTTTACATCATAAAGATCACAACTATTCACAAAGACATGAAATAATGGAAGAGAGACCCTGGTGAATAACCATAGAGCTGATTGAGGTGTTTTCTAACAGGAAAACACATTATAGTAGGTTGGCACTCATTGGCTAAGAGCATTCACTGTACTCTAATAGCTATGAAAAAGTAGGTGAAAGTTCTCTTTTGGATACTAAAACACTCACACACACATACACAAACACACACATATACAAATGTATGAAATAACCATTGATCCTTAATGGGACAGCATTATTTCAAGTCAAATATATACTAAAGAAAAGTATCAGGATGGAAACAAGATAGTTCCAAGTTGCACAGGGGGGTAGATGGAGAGCTCTGAAAGGGAAAATTAGAGGTGGGAGATGTAGTGGTGCTGGAATTGGATTCAACACAATAGGCATAACCAGATATAAAATTAATTTGAGAAATTGATTAAAGCATTTTATTTCTTGGTAAAACGCAACCCAACTAGAATGTCTGAAAAAACCAAAGCTATTTAATAAAGTCATGTTTCAAATATGAAGCACACTAACACATGCCTTAATTACAGCAATGGATAGAAAGTATAAAAAAACAGTGTTTTGACCTTGATGATAGCAATGTCCTCCTCCACGTGGCACACGGCCCCTAACACTGGGTCTGTACAGTAATGGTCCCTAAGGCTGGGGACACACATAACAGAGGGTATTCAAGACAATCTGATGACCATAGAAAGTATATTAGGAGCTTTATTTATTTTTATTTTTTATAATTTCTTAAATTTATATTTCTTTGGTTTATGTCTTTGATGCATAAAATAGAATAGTACTTTACTTCATACATAAATACTCATATTTAATATGTTAAAAACACAAAGATTTGTTGGGATTGTTGCTAGATTTATTTATTTTCTGATAGGACTGTGCAATGAAAAGGTTTGGAGAGCAATAGTATAACTAATGAAGTAGCACATATGTATCATTTGGCTCTTGAGTGAAGAGTATTTATATGATCACAATTTATTGTAATTTATTAACTTTTAGAATCAAATGATAGTTGCCTCTGGAGACAAAGACTGAGGTGATTGGTGGGGTGACAAAGGGTGAGGTAGAAGATTGTTGCTTTTCATTATGATAAGTCTTTTTCTATACATTATTGTCTTAAATTGAGTTTAAAGTTAGCTTTTTGTGCTCCGATAGTGACATCCTGTGTCAAATTAATCAAGAAACTAGTTAGTAAGTCAGATCAAAGCATTTCCCAACTACTTTGGTCTTCACATAATCCAAAATATTTGTTAAAATATATATTTCTAAGTTCCTACTCCCAAAATTATGTATTTAGCTGTGGTGAAGCCCATAAATCTATTTGTCCATAAACATCTTAGATAATTCTTATAATTGGGCAACCTTAGAAAACATCACTCCTGAATACATTTAATAAAGTTTTAATGGAAGCACAGAATTGTCATTTTGACAAGTTTTCTGTGCCTTATCTAGATTTGTTTGGTAGCACAGGAACTGACATGATATTTTAAAATTATACATATTATATTCAAGGCATACTATTCATAATGTGAGCATTAGATATGCTTTATGTATTTTATTTATGTTTTAGTCCAAACTCCTCCAATGCTTCAGCATTGCTTCTCTTCATTTACATACCAACTTTTGACCTTTCTCTTCAATTACATTTACTATTCAAGGGACAAACAACTCACTCTTCCTATGGGCTCATCTACCCTCATCATTATATATTAGCTCCTGCTTCACTTCTTTTATCTACAACTTCTAGAGTTCTGCTCACTTGTACCTTCTGATGGGATCCACATATTCCAATCATAAACCAGTTATCATCAGTTGAACAGGAACAGAATTGAAAGTGTCAATCCCTTTGTGTAGTGCAATATTTCTCAATCCTGCCTGTACATTAGAATCACCTGAAGGGCAAATGGGCTTTTAATACACCCAGCCCAATCAGTGAGTACTTCTATGAGTGGGACACAGGCGTTTTTCATAAGAATGATACATCTAATTTACAGAAGAGGAAACTGAAGTTCAGACAGACTAAGAGAATTCCCCAAGATCATATGGAAGTTAAATGATGAAGCTATGACTCCAATTTAGCTCTATCTTGTCCCCAACCCCAAATTCTTACCTCTATTTCTTTAACACCTGAACCAAAACTTATCTATTGTTTACTCCATCTATGATTCCAGTAAAATGTCCCTGTTAGCTTATTATATACACATGTGCACACAATCACACATCCATATAAAAGAGAGGAAGACAGACACAGATATACCCTCTCCAGAACAAAAATATTTTATTTGAAATTATTTTTGTCATGCTATTAATATTATCCCATCCCTTTTTTCCCTTCTGCTAGAAATCCTCTGGAAAGAAGAGCTTATACCTGATTATTTATTTCCATTAAGTCATTAATCCCTTGTACCATGATATTTACCTTCTTAAAGGTTATCAGCAATCTCTTAAACAGCAAATCCTCTTAAGCAAACATGGTTTGAGTGCCTAGTATTTGCTTGGCACTGGAGATAAATATTCAATTAATATCTCTAGCTGTCTTCCAAGAAGCTTACAGTAAGACAGACAGAGAGAGACCAATGATATCATATATGATGGTAAGTGTTTTAGGAGCACAATGGAGACATGACCATTCAAGGAAGCTTATCCAGGGGATGTGATGTCTGAGCTGTCTCACTTTGCAATGAGAAGTTAGCTATTTGAAGAAGGGCTAATGGAATCACAAAAGCCATTAAGAAAAAAGGTAGTATAGACTAAATACATGCAATGAAGTCCTATGCAAAAGAACAAAGGCACAGCATATTGTGAAAGATTTAACGAACTACAAATGGTGCAATATGCCTAGAATTAATGGTATGTATCTGGGGTTGTAATAATATGTGTCCAGGAATAGTGAAGAAAATGCTTGTTTTCATCAACTAAGAATTTGGAATTTTGGCAATGTGAAGTTGGCCCCGAGTCTCCCTTTCCTTATAGGTAAAAATTGAAATAATAATATCTTCCTCCTCATGGTTTCATGAGGATTGCATATAAGGATGCTTTTTGCTCACTCAGTACATACTCACATGATTTTGTCCATAAATATAGTGTGTCGTTATATAGTAGCAGTGGAGGCAATATTTGAAATTGTTTAAGAAAATGTAGGATAGAAACAGTGAGATCAATTAGAAGCCTATCACCTTGGCAAGCAAAAGAGACTAATTAAGGCAATTCAGATAGTAATGGAGATTAATGGGAGATAACAGCAGTCATTTAAATCTACTTAGAATTGGGGTTTGTAAATTTTCAGAATATAGTTTTAAGAAAAAGTATCTCAAGATTTCATGAATCATTATGATTAAGAAAAATTAAATAATAGCTTTTTAAATAGTAGAACAACTTGCTAGAACTTTAAACAAAAATAACCATTTATAATTCACTTAATTGTCTGTCACATAATTAAAACTTGATAGTATATTAATTAATCACACCATAATGCTTCTCTAATTATTTTGAAACCTTTTCCTTGCTCTTAGAATACTTTTTAGACATAGGAGCATTGATATTGTATTCTTCTTACCAGGGTCAATAGTACATCCATCATAAACTGAAATAATTTATATTTATTATTGCATTCTAAATATTTATTCCTATATATAGATGCTGACATCATCAATGACCTTATAATTCCTGATAGGATTACTACCTTGCAATTCACAGGCCTACTATATTAGAGTCATTATATACAATAAGAAATCTGACAACCAATTAAAATGATTGTCTTGTTTACTCCTATTACTCATGTATTAAGTAAACACACTTACAACATATTGTAAGCATCCTTATACTTTCATAGCAATGTATTTCTTGATATTAAAGCTTTTTCTACTATGTATCCAAAACACTGGTCACTATTATACTATGTCTCCAGGGCAGCCAGAAAGCATGTGCACTGTCACCTTTTTATTGACTCCATAACAATGAATTTATTGAAATCAGAATTAGGTTCTATCTCCCCTAAATTTAGGTCACTGGATAAAGGTCATTTCAATGGAATGTTGGAAAATAACCCCTCTTTGGAGTTGGTTGAGTAGAAATTTGGATGCCATAAATTGTATATAGCCAGTCTAGATAACTCTCTTAGAGGGTAACAAATGGGGTGGTTGATGAAGGAAGGAGTGGAGTCAGGAAGGTACTATGAATCTAGAAATATTGGAAGTCATGTCAGACAGTGTGGATACTCTAGTAGAGAAATAGTGAATTTTTCCATGAGAAAGCCAGAGAGAGGGTACCCAAAGCATAACTTCAGGGGATGGCCTTAGAGAGGAGCAAGGGTACTTCCAGAAAGAAGTCAAGCTTCATAGTACTGATGCAGTCAGGTTTGTAGAGTGGGATTTAAAAGTCCGGGAAAGTTTTTGAAGCTAATTATATCTGTTTTGTTGATGAAATGTGAAGACATATCACAGATCAGAGTGAGAAGAAATGAAAGTGTTGGAGATTTGAAACAAGCCGGAAAGCTGTGAAATTGTCATTACTGAAAGTGATAAAGTAAATTTACTTAGGACCTATAGTTAGGTGTGGCTGGATAGAGCTATGATTTGAAAGCACAGTCATAAACCTAAAACAAATTCAGAGTGCATAACTGTGTTATTTTCAACAAGAACACACTGCTGCTGCTTAGGGGCAGTCATCAAGTGGGAAATAGTTGGATTTAGTCAAGATTGAGGTTTTTTTCCTAGGTAAGTTTGAAGGAGGCTGGACAAAAGAGTTAGGCACTTGCAAATAGTGCAATACTGCTGAACAATGGCATACAAGACAGATAAGAAGATAAGTGACACGAGAGAAGTTATAGATAAAGAAAAAGTAGTAGGGTCATTAGCATAGCAGAATTGGGGTAAATAAATATGTAAATTTTTGATTAAGTTGGGTAATAATCAGAGAGTAAGCTCTTTGTAATCTAGATTTTTTGAAAACATTGCAATTATTTATGATGATAAAGTCTTGATGGTGACTATAGGAGTGGATGTCTAGAATAGGGAGAAGGACCAAAGAGTAAGAACAAAGGAGTTAAAAGAACTGATCAGCCATATTGGTTGATCATTTTTGTGGAGGTTCAATATTCCATGAAAACTGGTGGGGAAAATAGAAACCCCATGAGCCAGGAATAACAGTCGCTAATGAATTTGGAGATAACAAAATTAACAGTTAATGACTGTTAAAATCTGATGATATATATCTCAAAAAGCAGTAATTTGTGGGGGAGGAAAGAAATATATGCTGGAAGAAGAAATGGAAAACAAGTCACTTATTCCATCTCTAGGCTCTGAGATACTGGGATGTTCATACAAAATGTAACTTCCACAGCAGTATTTTTCAAAGTAAAACATTTTCCATGAGTGCAAGAAGATGAAAAGAATAGTATGGTGGGAGACACACACACATATGTATGTGTATATATATATATATATATATATATATATGTGTGTGTGTGTGTGTGTGTGTGCATTCTATATAGAAGTGCATTGTGATAAATGCAATGATGTAATATGTATATGTTTCTATAGATATATCTAAGGTAGATTACTCAGTGGTAGGATTGGAGATGGTGACAAGGTGGCAGTGTGGACATCTCAGTTCAGTTCTAAAGTATGAGAAAGACAAAGAAGAAGGGAAAGCTGGTGCAGGTGGAAGGAAAGCTTGTGAAGAGTCTTGAAGTTTGAGCACTATACTTAACACCAAGACCGTGCAATCTTTTTCCCACTTTTCTTCATGTATAAAAAGACACATATTCTTCAGGTGACTCCCAGTGCTAATTCTCCAAAGTTTCCTCTGGTCTAGCTCACAAGGACTTTGCTGTTCTCTGAATTCCTCTGGAATGTGTCGTATGCACTGTGCATGTTGTATTAATAAACTACCATAAATTATTTCCTATAATATTTTCCTTATATCTTTTTCCAGCTACAACATAGATTTTGGAAGAGTAAAGACCATATTTTATACTTCTTTAAGTTCTCTCAAGTATTCTACACAGCTCTACAGTTAAGTGTTGCATAAATACCTGTTAAATGAATCTTACAGATTAAACTAAGTGCAAATTTCTTTGGTATTAGCTGGAAAATATTTTACCTTTTCAAAGATACCGAGTCAAATATAGTTTTATAGAAAACTAATTCCATAATTCCGAAAAACAATGTGGTTTGGGGTGAATGTTTTAACTTCCATCTGAAAGAATATATATGCTAAGTGAATATCTTGGTGAAGGAACCCTTATAAAACAATTTGGCATGTAATAAATATTTGTTAAATATCTAAGCACTATAAGGATGAATGAATCTTAAGTTATCCTTAGCCACACCCCCACTAGATTATCTATGTGATTTAATGCCACCCAATTGTTTTCAGACTTCAAAAGGGGGAAAAGAATGAGCAATAGAAAAATTGAATGTCATCTCACCAATACACACCAGCAATTTAGACTTTCACAGATGTATTAACATCAGTATATTATTTTCCTCATCACTGATAGCACCAATGTTAACCACTAAAAATTGAATGCTAGCTCTTTCTCTCTCAATTGCTGTGTTACCATTCAGTATAACTTATTTGCAGGTGCTTTTTATTGTCTGGATACGATGAAAAATAAAAGAATAACTACAGTAATATCTACAACATGTTTTTTCTCTTTGCCCTTACCTGACAATTTCCAGGCAGCAAGTTTGGCTTCATGTTTGGTTTGAGGTCACTAATCAATAAGCTTTTATGCCATAAAAAAAATTAAAGAAACAATGGAAATATTAATTTTATCCTTTAACACAAAAGACATATTTTATTGCTTTTATAAATAAGTATGAAATGATTCAATAGTTTATTTTTATAAAGAAGTAGGTAAACAAATACTATATAATGTATTTAAATATCCTTTATATTGACTCTTGATAGCCTCCCATGTATAATCATAACCATTTTATATTCTTAAGTTCAGTTAATAGAAGCCTTTTTTTAATAATAATTTCAGTTAGTATCTCTTCTTCTAGATAGAAATGATGGATCTTGATGATGCTTTAAGTAAAAAATCTCTATATTTCATCTTAGATTCTTGAAAAAACTGTATTTTTTCTAATTTTAATTCCTGTGGCATTTTTTTATGACAAATCATTGAATAAATCACTTGAAAATAATAATAACCTTATACAGTTGGTAACAGAGTACCAGCAGTAGATCTTAACCTTCATTTGTAAATCTGATTTTGCTCTCTGCTAATTCTCATGCCTAGAAGAATATTAGGTGGTCAATATGCTTTGAATGACTATAGAACCACTCTTAAATTTTCCTCTGATAAAGAATTTAGGAGTGAAATGTAACCTTTTTAAATGCCACTTGCTGGGGGCTGAATGTCTGTATCCCCCTAAAAACTGATATGTGCAATTTTTACCCCCAAGGGAATGATATGAGGGGGTAGGGTCTTTTGAGGGGTGATTAGGTTAGGAGGGCAGAGCCATAATGAATGGAATTAGTGCCCATATAAAAGAGGCCTCTCACCCCTTCTGTCATTGAGAATGTAGCAAGAAGGGTCTATGAGGAAATGGGCCCTCACCAGACACCAAATCTTCTCGTGCCTTGATCTTGAAACTCCTAGTCTCCAGAACTGTGAAAAATAAGTGTTTGTTTTTTATGAGCCACCACTTTATGGTATTTTTGTCATAGCAGCCAGAACAGACTAAGATACCAATCAACATTTAAGGCTCTAAATTTGCAAATTAATGAAGTGTTAAGGAACAAATCTTACTGCCTAAAATTTCTTTCTTTGAAACCATCAGGTCAGCTTTTACCTTGGTACCTGCCCAGACTCCTTGGTTGTGAGACTCGGTTGGCTCTGATGATGCTGGTGACAATGGGGAAACAGTCTTGAACAGGCAGGAGCACTATAGGTAAAGGAGCAGAAAATGGGGGGAGGGAGATGTTTCAAAAAAAGAAACTGAGTGCTTACTTTTTGATCAAAATTGTGAAAATTATCAAAATCAATTCCCTACTTTGATTTTAATCAAATAGCCTTAAGCCTCTAATTAACATTCCTCATGCAAAAAAAATCAAACAATCTAAACATAATGCCAATTAATAAGTATGTCTTTTGAATAAAGTGAAAATAATGTCCTTAAATCATTGAAATAAAATTTCCATCAGAAAATATCCTTAGATGCAAAAATATTTCAGTTTACTCTGCTATTTACATATTCAGAAAAAAAAAAAAGACTATGAGTATGATAGATGACATTGGAATGCCTGGAGAGAAGTTTTTCTAGTATAACAGATACCATGTTGTAGCACTGCAATTATCATGCTCCTCTTGGTGATAGTGCATCTGCAGGTCCCCTTCCATGATACATTAGATTTCAGATCAGGAATTCATTATTTAAAAAAAGTGGGAAATGAGTGCAATACAAATTTCTAAACCCACTTATTTCACTTTCTTAATTCACTATATTTTTTGGACAAATGGTTTCGTTTTTTAATAATAAATTGCTTATTTATTTAGATACTTGATATTGCCATTATAAACCCAAATATTATGGTAAAATACATGTCACCTTCAAAACAAAAATTCAAATTTACGACATGGTCTCTATTTCACATAAAGGTGGCAGTCTCTCAGTTGTCCTTACTGTTTACTTACATGCTAAAACTTCTGTTACCTTTGGGTTTTATTACTTTACCTGGGGAATCTATAGTCCATCATCCAGGATAAGTGCTAACCTTTTGTTAGTGAGTAAATACAGTAGAATTCACTTTCCTGTTTATGTTTTTATACCGCTCAAGAGAAAAACACTCTTAAATATATGCTATATGTTATGTGTCTTCTTTCATGTTTTCTTCCACTCATTCTTCAAATGCCAGCTTAAGTGACACTTTCTCTGGGAAACTTTCCTTGCCCAATCCCTCTAAACAAGAGTCAAGTATACCATGGAAAGATGTTTAAATTCCAGTTGCCCCTTTTATCACTCTCTCTTCTACCTGTTGCAACCATTCATTCTCCTAAGCCCTTTCTATTTTTTTTGAGACAGAGTCTCGCTTTGTTGCCCAGGCTAGAGTGAGTGCCATGGCGTTCAGCCTAACTCACAGCAACCTCAATCTCCTGGGCTCAGTTGATCCTAATGCCTCAGCCTCCTGAGTAGTTGGGACTACAGGCATGCCCATGCACAGCTAATTTTTTCTATATATATTAGTTGGCCAATTAATTTCTTTCTATTTATAGTAGAGACAGGGGTCTCAATCTTGCTCAGGCTGGTTTCAGACTCTTAACCTGGAGCAATCCTCCCAGAGTGCTAGGATTACAGGTGCGAGCCACCACACACGACCGAGCCCTTTCTATTAAAGGCTAGTTACCTGGCACAATATCTGAGCTCTCAGGAGCTACTTTGTGAATTAATTCAGTCCTCCTATAATAACAGTTGAAATTATTTTATTTCACCTTTTTAAGACTTCTATTTATTCTTTGATAGGAAAATATAAGCAGAGATCTTGATCTTGTTTATATATGCACCAACTAAATTTTACTTATTCCTTTTCTGTAGGAAAATGTAAAATCCCATTTCTTTTCTTTTTTTTTTTTCCTTCCAGACAAGTGGTCTTTAGCTTGAATCATTTAATTGATCACTTAGGAGAAGAGAATTAGCTTTAGAACCAGAAGATCTTGCTTAACATCCTTTATCTCAATCTAAAACAGTGATCCTGCTACCTATCCTTCAGCTTTGTTGTGATTATCAGCAAAGATAATATCTGTCAAGCACTAGGAGTAACAGATGCTCAATACATTTTCTCCAACTTCTTCTTTCCACTTTCATTTTGGTGCCTTTAAGACATCCTTTATGGGCCCTTTGAACAATAAACAGGTTCAAATAGGAAACAGCAATTAAAATCTTACTCTTTGAAGAGGCACCATGCAACGGCATAGAGGCACAACACAAAAAGAACTCCTGTTAGAGTTAGTACTGCAGGAATCCAGTTATCAGGGCTCCAATAATATGAAATCTTTATTAAGACAGAAGTAGTAATCTGAGAAACACAATAAATATTTATTAGGCATTAATAAGTGCAATGGACAAAAATATGAAGAAGTATATGCTGAGAAGAATTTCTTGCACATTTTACTTTGCTTCTTCTTTTTAGTTTATTAAAATAAGATTATTCCCAGATATGTGTTGAATAATTAAAAACAAATACAGAAAGTTATAAGGCATAATAAACTGAAACCACTTTCAGCCACCAAAACCAAACAAATCTTTTTTTTTTTTTTTTATTAGAAGCAAATGTCTTTGAAACTAATATTGCCTTTGGCCAGAATCCTCTTTCCTGTCTTGCCCTTTTGGTGAACATTTGTTTAATATCAGGGTTATCCTCCACTATTGCTTTTGCAAAAAGTTTGATTTGGGGATAGAAATTACTATATCCACACCCTCTTTGCTCATACCTACAGTAACATCTAGAACACTTTGTTACATTTACTTCCTTTCAATTGGTTCTTCCTACAGAAAGAAACTATTAAACAAGGACCATTCCTTGCTCATCTTTGTGGATTCTCTACAGTTCTTGGCACAGAGAAGATATTAACGAGTGCTGGCTAAATGACAGACAGAATGAATCAGCAAGTTGTTTACAGGGCAAAGCATTATTGCAAAAAGGAGTTAGACCACTGTTGCCCTTTCCTACTTCCTATTATAAAAGCACAAAGAATTTTTTTTCTCAGATAAGTTCCCATTACTATTTAAAGTGTGACCATTTAAGAAGCTAGTAATAAAAAGTTCAATGTTGATTTTAATTAAGTCCATGACTAAGCAACATTGCATTCCCAGCAGATGGCAGCATAAGATAGGATAAGTTTTGTGAACCCATGCAATAGGTGTGCCATTTCTTAAGGCAACATAATTCATAATGCTGGTTTCACAGAAATAAAAAAGGGAGAAAACAGATTTTTGCAAATAAGGCTCAATCAACAATGGTGGTAGCAGAAATAGCACTACCTATACAGTTCAGTGAGAGGATTACTGATTACTTTGTGGAAATTTGGTAGTTGTTGAAATCAAGTATTATATGACTAAACATTCTATTTTACATGACAACAATATGGGCATGTTTGGACAAAGGAAGATCAGAAATCAGACTAGGCTTTAGCAAATGTCAGTTGAAATACTGTGGCCTTGTTTTCCTAGATAAATAACTGTACTGTATTTCCAAATGATAAATAGACCAAAAGGATGATAGGCATTTTGATTATATCACTTAATCACCTAGCTATATTTTCAGCTCATTAAGAAATAATTAACCCCCTGAGCATATTTAGGAAGAATACTACTGCTAGTATAAGGAACAAGACCTTTCATAGTCTACACCTGTTAAACTTGCTTTCTCATTCTTTCAGTCTGCCTGCCTGCCTGCCTTCCTTCCTTCCTTCCTTCCTTCCTTCCTTCCTTCCTTCCTTCCTTCCTTCCTTCCTTCCTTCCTTCCTTCCTTCCCCTCCCTTCCTTCCTTCCTTCCTTCTTTTCTTCCTTTCTCCTTCCCTCCCTCTCCCTTCCTTCCTTTCAACAAATATTTATTGAACAGCTATAATACTCAAAGAATCACCATATAAAGGAAATATAGAACCTTAAAACCAAAAAGGGTAGGGGTATCATTTATTTATCAGCCACTGTGTGCTAAGATTGGTGCTGAGCTTTTTAGTTATGTAATTTCAGTTTCCCCTAATGCTCATATTAAAAGAGATGTGTTTGTTCATATTAAAAGAGACATGTTCACTACCACCAATTTACAAAGGTGGAAATGAAGCTCAGGGAGGCTCTGTATGTTACCTAAAGTTACATGACCACTAAATAGCAGAATTGGTGTTCACATATATAGATTAGTAGACTAGATACCTTCTCCAAAATGAGGATATTTGAGAGTTTTGAGGAAAAAATATAATTCCTATATCAAGGGGTGATGGCAACATTTTGTAAATCACCATAGTGTTCATATAAAAGTAATTATAACTTTTTTCCATGAGAATTTAGCTGTATAGAGCCAATTAAAGGCATTTAAAAAATACTTAGAGGTTAGATGAAAGAATCATCCTCAATTCTACTTCACTTGCCTGACAAACATGGGTAGATTTCCCAGTTTCTTTTTTTCTCTTTGTTTTCTCTCTCTTATGTACACATAAAGAAATATCTAAAGCTTTTATTTTAAAAAACACATTTTTTTCACATTTCAAAGTCTAAGATAAGTCAGGATGTTACTTTTTTTCCAGTAATGATGTAAAAAGAGCAAAATCTTTCTACAGGGATTAAATACAGTATTAATGGTTTATATTTACATAGAACATGTTTATTACAAGAGCTTTCATCTCTTGTTTCATTTGATCCTTACAACATTCTTTATACAATATATGAAGCTATTCTAGTCTCTTTAGTAATCCATGTACACAGAGTAAATATTTAAGTAAGTATTATGTGCAGGCTGGACTCTCTCAATTACATCTTTTTTCAATTGATGATTTCAAACATTTTTCAAGAACCAAGTTTGGAGGTTAGCATTTGATACTCTCAGTGCTTCCATAGCTTATTCCATGATCACCTTACATTTTAATTGCTTTTAAATTCTTTAAAGTCCCCACTAGGTAGTAATCATGAAAGCAAGGGCATTTGCTCTTGCCTCATCTCTGGCAGTAGCTTCCTGACTAGATGGGCTGTCTCCTGTCTCCCCATCTGCATTCTTTTCTCCATTCTGCTGGTCTAGTTTTAATTCTGCAACTATTCATTTACATTTCTTAGGACTCTACCATGGCTTTGTGTTGTCTGTATATCAAAGTCTAAAACCCAAAGTATTGACTCTAGACTTTCATTAATCTATCTAGTACTGTGGCCCCAAACTCCCAGGCTGCAGACCACTACTT